TAGATAGGTAGTTTTCAAACACTTCAAAGACCTACAGAATATGGCATTTAAAATGTTTTAAAAATTTAGACGTTCTGGACAGTGAGACATATCTGCTCCTGACAGCACTGGATTTACTTCGGAGAGGAGGATGGACATTAAAGATACTCCATTTGGAGTTTATCTTCACCTTGGCAAAGATAGCCATTTGGGTAAGAAACTGTTCTTACCTGGACTGCTTGATCAACCGGACATGCAGGACCCATAGGAAGGTAACCACTGAACTTTGCTTGACAAAATGATCCTTCAGGATCCTGATTTACAGAGGAAACTACAAGACATTCTACAGGACACAGAAAAAAGTGAATGAGAGACTCTAGGCCTGCGGGCTGAAGACTGACGCCCCAACTTTATAAGAGAACTTTGAATGACTGTCCAGGCTGTCAGCTGTCTCTGTCCACCCTGTAAGACTCCTGAAAGTTACATATATCCTTCTCCCATTTCTCAGGTAATATTATATCCTTCTGAGGTCTTTGATGTGGTTAAAGACTAGATAGTTGTAATTTCCTCAGTTATGATAAAAGATAAGTTAGATATAAAACCTTAAACTCACAAATATAAGATAGATAGGACATCTTGTTTAATATTGTAACTGTAATTCTTGCTCGATAATTGTTTTGTTATATGTAATTTTACCATGTTAAAGATAAAACCTTCCTTTTTAAAAAAAAAGAAGAAAAAGGGAAGTGCTGTGGATATCGCTCTATATAAATAAAACACCGATGGCCAGTGACCAGACAGGAAGTATAGGCGGGACAAGGAGAGAGGAAAATTGGGGAAACAGGAAGAAGGGGGGAGACACACTGCAGCCACCGCCAGGACAAGCAACATGTAAAGACGCCAGTAAACCACCAGCCATATAGCAAGGTATAGATTTATAAAAATGGGTTAATTTAAGATAAAAGAACAGTTAGCAAGAAGCCTGACATGGCCATACAGTTTATAAGTAATATATGCGTCTGAGTGATTATTTTATACGTGGATTGTGGGACTGCGGGGTTTGGTGGAACCTGGAGAGAAGCCCTCCAGCAACATGGGAGCCTTGAGTCTGAGGTTTTGTTCCTATGTATGTTCATAACTGCCAAGATAGTCCCTATAATTTTCATCCATATCCTATGAATTTTTTCCTGTTTACACAATAAATAAGTTATACCAGTGCACCTTTGTTTATTTATTTATAATTATTTACTGTCAACTTTATTCCCATTTTTTTTCCCAATAGAAGCATAGGTTTTCTGGGATCTGAGTCCAAGCAACTTGCTGTGGTGATTGATGCATCTCAAACAACTTCAGTTCTCCATAGAACAACAATCTTTTCTTGTTCTTTGTTCAATCTTAGTGGTTCATGCAGTGATTGCCACATAGTAGGTGTTCAATAAGTATTCATTGTAACTGAAAGGCAGTAAATATAACTATAGTCATACACAATCACTTAGTGACAACTGGGATTTGGAACTCTGGTAAATGTTTTATTTAAGTGTTTTATAAATTTAGAGTCATTTTAGATTACTTGTTAAATGGATGTTGTTCAGAGATTTCATAAATTAGTGCTGTGGATACTGCTGAGAAATCATACAAATATGTTGAAATAGATTTTTCTGGAATAAATGTGAAATTAAAATATTTAATGGTGATGAAAAATATCCTACTTCCAAGACACAAAATAGATAGATTGATGAGGATAGTGCACTTGAATGGAGCTCAAGTCACCTTTCCGCATTGCATATAAATACTTGAACTTACATGTAGCCTATACAGAGGGGGGTATGTTCACCCATACATAATGTAGGTCATAAACAACCATGTATAAATCTTTGTTTGGGTGTCTGGTCTTTTCCTAGCCCTGCATTTTTAAAGCTGGAAGTGTTGGATTTGTCCCTGATCATTGACTTATTTGTTGTTTTTACTTAGGTTGTTTTCTTGACTAAAATTCTGTATCTCCCCAGGTTTCTGTGAATCAACAGCATCCCAGAAATTGTTTCTCTTCTTGAGACTTCAGGGAAGTCTTGGAATGCAAAGAACTCAAAAAGGAAGCCTGGTTAAAGGGCCTTTGTGGTCTCACTAAGGCAGAGATTTATCACAAACACAGTGGATGTCTTCGAGTTCTTAAAGGTTGCAACCTTCAAGTGAGTTCAAAGGGCATCATCTGGGTTTCATTTGCTTTGATAAAGAATTGAAAAGCTTTATTTTAACCATATTGTCATTGGCTTAAAGTCAGAGCTTAACAAGCTCTGATGCTAGCTTTAATATCACCATTTTGAAAAAGCCAATCAAACAAGCCAAATCTTCCCTCATGGCATTATTTTCAAGGTCAGTCAGAACCAAAACTTTCTAGATAATTTTATAATATTCAAGGTACTGGTTAAGTTGTTCCTTTTCAAGTGGGGTGTGTGTATGTGTGTGTGTGTGTGTGTGTGTGTGTGTGTGTGTGTGTGTGTGTGT